TTCAAATTTTTCTTTAGTTTTTGCATGTTTTCGAAAAATTTATTTCTTTTTGTTGAATTTGTTTCGACGAAAACAAATTTTCATACCTGTAAGATTGCTTTCATTGATAGAAAAGAGAAAGATAGTTTTCTGCTTAAGTTTTGAATTTCCCACTTCTTACCCTTGTGAATAGATAGAAAATAGAGCAGTGTAAATTTTGAACTTTTAAATTTCTTTTGTTTTACTTTCTTCTCCTATATTCATTTGTTTGCTAATAGTTTTCAAGTACAAATCTAGGATAGCACCTTTCTGATATACAGATTTTACAAAATAGATATTCATTCTACTGAGACAGAAATTCTTTAGTGTTTCTTACTAGACATATCTCTTTGTATAATTGAAGGGCTACTTGCTTTTACCAATATCGAGAAAAGTTTGGTTTGTTTTTTTAAATTAAAAGATAAAATAGAATGTCTTAGATGATTTTGTTCACGTTCGACATTAACTTCTTCACACTCCAACATGTAAGTCCTGAATCTACTAACAAGAAATATTTCCAAACGTACATCAAGAAAGAAATTAAACTAGAATGGTAAACAAATCATAGAGTTCAGAACTTCAACTTACAACAATAACGTAGATTCTTCAGACTTCGAGACTCGAAAACTTTGACTGTATTGAAGAAACTAACATTAACCCTTACGGAACTTTTACAATATAAAGATCTCACTTTTCAGTTAATAGACTTAAAAACTTCAGGTGTTGACGAGTATGGCTGATTTCAAAACTCTGCATTTAAACAACTTAAAGACATCAGGACTGCAAGACTATGACTGCACTTCAACACTCTGTTCAAGAAACTGAAAGACTTGAGGACTCAGATATTATGACTGACTCCAAGTGAGATGAGTAATGCGTTGACTAAAATCGATTACGTCCTCAATTCTTTTGTTGAATAGCATCCGAAAACCTATAGAGTGAATTCAAACACTTGAGACCGTTCATCCTACCAGAAGAGTAATTTTGGTTCATATACATGTAAATCGCACGAATTTTTCAAGATATTCTTGGATTGTAGCGGAGAGACTATGCTATCGTTTTCAGCTCAGTAGAGTTGCATTTAAGAGATATTCACCAAATAATGGTCCAAAATAGCTCATCTTCTAGTGATGAAAAGTTCAAAACCCGAAAAAAATTGAGAAAACAGTAGGTCTTTTTCCGATTTCAAAGGAAGATTTTCAAGAGAAAGGTACTGTTCTGCCCTAGATTCTAACACAATCTTTCAAACAGTAAAAGATGAATACACAGAATCAAGGCTTACAAAGAATTTCGAATTACAAGATGAGCTGTTTTTGACTATTGTTTGTTAAATATCTCTCACAAATGCAACTCTATTGGGCTGAAAACTATACCATAGTCTCTCCGCTATACTCCAAGAATATTTTGAAAAGTTCATGCGATTTGCATGTACCTTAAGTGTCTGAATACTGTTTAGACTAACTTTAAGTGATTTTTGAAGTTCTGTAAATATCCCGCTGACTTTTCGAAACCTTGAGTTTTTTCAATTGCTTTTGACGGTTGTCGATAGATTTCTGAGATCTTGGAAACCTGTTGTCAGAAACTTGTAAAAAATTTTATCTATTGACAAACTCAGAACCTCTTATAGGAATCCGAGGAAAAGGAAGTTTTTCTAGAATGTATGATACAATGCTGAATTAATAATCTATGTCATTTTTAAAGAATTCACTATGACTGTGTCGAGAATAAAAAATTCTGACATCGTTTTAGAATTACGGAGGTTCTCAGGATGCCATTGCGATAATTTCTTTGTTTCCAGAAAATCCTATCCGAAGAAAATGGCTAATCGAGAGTATATACACGAAGGAAGTTTTCGCGCTTGGATCAGGCTCAGATTCAATTTTGTCGGGTTGGATCCAGCTTGACAGTGTGGAGTGTGGATATGAGTACTAGTGTTCTCTTTATCTACAAACGCACTTACTCCCAGCAACAAATATTTATAAAAGGAGATGAAAATGAATTACAAAAAATTGAAATCTACTAATGACCGTGCATTTATTCATTTAGTTCGATAATACAAGATTTTAAGTTGAAATTACTCGTTACTTTCTTCATTATTTATAAAGATTACAATATCACCATTTATTATTGTTCATTATGATAGTATTAAAAAATAAAGAAAAATTAACCTCAATAAGGATCCATTTTTTTCGAGTATTTATCGATAAACATTAGATGATTGACTATGTGCAGATACTTTACATTATTTGCAGTATGTAAAACAATCATCGTTATATTTATTGGCAAATCAATATTTCAATAGTGAATAAAATTCATTATTAATTTTTTGATTATGCAAGCTTTGTCATCTACTACTTCATTCTAATAAAAACTAAATCAATTTTACTTTTGTAATCACGAATGCATATTAATTAAATAAGTCTATTTATACACAGAAATAAAAATAAAAGTGATTATTAGAAAAAAGAAACATTTATTCATCATCATTACCATGGAATTATATAAAAAAATTCGTTGACATACAAAAAAGTCTTAGAAAAATCAATATCTAAATTAGCATTTTCTTTTCAAACTTGTTACCTTTTATTTTTTTTTTCGTACTACTGCTTTATAATTCCATATATATGTAGTACCTTTTTGTTCAAATCGATCTATTTCAGTTGCAATAATAATAAAAAATTAATAAAATATGTATTAAATGATATATGAAAACGAAATCAGTTTTTTTCATTATTATTTGAAACAAGACAGTCAGTTGTATATTTGATGATATCACGACAAAACCAACAAACAATCAATGAATAATCCTTTTTCGTGCAGTTTGCTTTTGAGTTTTGTTGCCTTCAACGAATGAAACGAACAAAACACTGGTGCGAGTTATTGTTGTCTCTTCGTTCTCCTCTTTCTATACGTCTATCTGAGCACACATAAGTAATACCTTACCTACTATATGGGGAAAATAGCTTGACAACTAAACCAACAACAATCAGAACAACCAATAATATTTTGAAATTCTATTAATCATGTTTGGTTTTTTTTCTTTTCTATGAATGACGACAATTTATTCATTGTTACTCATTTCGTTTTTGTTCTTCCTTGTCTCTTCTTTTTGATACAGGGAGACTCCACCCACTATTCATCGTTCTTTCATCCGCAACACACTCCTAAAAAAAACCAACGATCGAGAGAAGAAGCTTTTGAAGCCCATAGCAGCAAGACTGAAAAAGTGTTGACAAAAAGAATAAAAAGCTTTATAAATATAGGGTGACAACGTCTCACTTATTGCATTCATTTCTTCATCCATTGATCATGGACAAACAAAAACCGACAAAAACTGCTGCTAGTGAAACAGCAGCGATGACTACTACCATCAATCGTGGTGCTGTGCTGCCCCGACCTGTTCGTCGGATTCTTCAAAATTTCCTTTTGGTATGGCTCGATGCCAATTTGCAAGAATCAGATAAGGATTTTAAAAATTCATTGCAACATCTGCGAAAAATTGTGGCATCCATCACAACGTTTACGGATGCCCAACAATGCGTTAATTTCCTAAGTGAAATCAAAAAAGAAAAGGTATTTATGATTGTATCCGGTTCCTTGGGTCGTGAAATAGTACCAGAACTTGAAGCATTGCCACAACTGGAAGCAATTTATGTGTTTTGCGGCAACCAATCAGTTCATGAACAATGGGCTAAAAAAATAAGCAAGGTTAAGGGTGTATACACAAAAATTGAACCAATTTGTCAAGCACTTGAAATCGATCGACAACGATGTGATCAAGCTATGATCCCGATCAGCTTTAATGGTCGTGATGCATTATTTATGTATACACAACTTTTAAAAGAAGCACTCTTGGAGATCGAAGATGACAATAAAAAATCCATCAAAGATTTGGTCGATTACTGCCGTGAACAGGATGATATTTCTGAAGATCAAATTAAACAAATAGAACGTGAATATCGTAATCATACACCAATATGGTGGTATACAGCGGAGACATTTATTTATCCCATGCTCAATCGTGGTCTCCGACAAATGGATGTCGATATTATCCTGAAGATGGGTTTCTTCATTCGCCATTTACATAATCATATTACTGAATTACATCGTCAACAACAAGATTCCATACCAGCAAAATTTCAAGTCTTCCGTGGACAAGGTTTGTCCATGGAAGATTTTGATAAAATGAAAAAAACCAAAGGAGGACTTATGTCCTTTAATAATTTTCTCTCAACAAGTCGCAACCGTGAGATATCTTTCAAAAACTTTGCACGACCAGCAGCATTAAATACAAATTCAGTTGGCATACTTTTCATTATGAACATTGACACGGCTATTTGTACAAAATCATCGACACCTTTTGCCGAAGTAAGTAAAGTTGGCTACTACAAAGATACAGAGGAAGAAATACTTTTTTCAACACATGCGATTTTTCGTATCGATCGCATTGACCGAATTCACGATAATCACTCTGATCGACTATACGAAGTTACTCTCACTATTGTCGGTAATGACAATCATGAATTAAACACACTTACAGAACACATACGTAAGGATCTTGGTGACCGCCCAGGTTGGTCTCGACTAGGTCGCATCCTAAAAAGAGTGGGCGAACCTGCAAAAGCCGAACAACTCTATCAAATTCTCCTTGCAAAGGCGTCTTCTGATCAAGATCGAGCAGAATACAATTATCAACTTGGCTGGGTGTATAAAGACATGGGTGAGTACTCGAAAGCACTTTCATATTACGAAAAATCACTTGATATCGACAAGAAAATTCTCTCTCCAAATGATCTCAGCTTGGCTTCTTCCTACAACAACATCGGTAATGTGTATAAAAACATGGGCGAGTACTCAAAAGCACTTTCATCGTATGAACGATCACTTGAAATCCAGAAAATAGCGCTCCCTCCGAATCATCCCGACTTGGCTGCTTCCTACAACAACATCGGGTTGGTGTATGATGAAATGGGCGAGTACTCAAAAGCACTTTCATCGTATGAACGATCACTTGAAATCAGGAAAATAGCTCTCCCTCCGAATCATCCCGACTTGGCTGGTTCCTACAACAACATCGGGATGGTGTATGATAACATGGGCGAGTACTCGAAAGCACTTTCATCGTATGAACGATCACTTGAAATCAAGAAAATAGCTCTCCCTCCGAATCATCCCTCCTTGGCTTCTTCCTACCTCAACATCGGTTCCGTGTATTATAGCATGGGCGAGTACTCTAAAGCACTTTCATCGTATGAACGATCACTTGAAATCCAGAAAATAGCTCTCCCTCCGAATCATCCCGACTTGGCTGCTTCCTACAACAACATCGGGTTGGTGTATGATGAAATGGGCGAGTACTCGAAAGCACTTTCATCGTATGAACAATCACTTAAAATCAAGAAAATAGCTCTCCCTCCGAATCATCCCGACTTGGCGTACTCATACAACGGTATTGGTTCGGTGTACGATCAGATGCGAGAGTATTCGAAAGCCCTTTCACATTACGAAAAAGCTCAAGAAATTTGGAAAAAATCACTTCCTGCAAATCATCCACATATTGCCCTTGTGAAAACAAACATTGACAATGTAAAAAAGAAAATGTAATTGTTTTTTTTTTCGTTTTTAAAGAGAAAATAAACTGGCCATCTTGAAATCTAAGCTCGCTGAAGCAAGCAGATGCAAAGTTTCGCGCACGCGCGACCAGAGATACCCTCCGTATTCTGCTGGCTCGTACAGTGGACAAAGCCGCCAATGGTTAGGCAAACATACATCGATGTATGTATAAATAGTACAACCATGATCATCATCTTGGAAAAGACGATGACGAAATGGACGCTTCTATTCATACATACATTGATGTATGTTGTGAAGGCCTACCATCTGCACGCCTGCACGGGTCACCAACAGAACATCGGATATCCCTGGGAAGGTTCAATTGTTTTAGAGCCACCCTCAAAAGCTCCATTAGTTAGAAAATTATTTTTGTTCTTCTGTTACGAAGAACAAGAAGAAGTAGAAACGGAAAGACGCGATGAAAGACGACGTTATGGAATGAGAATACGCAGCGCATGATAACAACCGATGTTTGTCAAGCAATGGAATATTGAGTGCACGATATCTTTGTCGTCTTTAAACATTTCATGTTCAATTCGTCTGAGTTTTCATCTCGAATGTGTAAGAATAACTTGAATGTCGTACACTCACCATTGTAGCAAACGAACGATGATTGTATGAAACGGCGAATAAAAACAATACATTCGCCGTCAATTTGAGTAATAACTCATGCATTGCATATCCTGAAATAGAGATAAAGAATAGAAAAAGGGAAAATTTTAAATATATATATATTTTTTTACATTTTATTATGATATCTGATGGTTACATTAACATTGATGCTCAAAAAAAAAAAGATATCATTTTTCACAGCACCTCTTTTTAAATCTGAGAGAAAAATATACCATTCCATGTGTCGTCATCTAGTTTGTGGAAGAGTGAACACTGCATCTTTCTACCTTATTTCTATGAAAAGTTATTCAAAAGATACTCATTAGTCTTTCTGTTTTAAATGAGTATTAATATAAATATCTCATAGGAAAATAGAGTTTTCATTTTACTATCAGTCCAGACAAAAAAGAAAGTTTCCTCTAGGTTACTATGCACTATTAGAAATCCTCGCGTAGAATAAATATTTTTCTTTATATATTCATAAAATAATTCT